TTCCCTGTAGAGCATGATATCACATGGTGTGGAATATCCCTTGGGTCAGTTGGGATCAGCTGTCCCAGCTGTGTCCCCTCCCAGCTTCTTGTGTACCCTCAGCCCACTTGCTGGTGGGGTGGAGTGAGAGACAGAAAAGGCCCTGACACTGCTTAGCAGTAATTAAAATATCCCTGAGTTATCAACACTGTTTCCAGCACAAATCCAGAACACAGCCCCATACTACCTACTATGAAGAAAATTAACCCTCCCTCGGCCAAAACCAGCACATCAAGTCATGCAAAAAATGTGCACATTAGTGTGCTTTATTATTCCAAATGAGGACCTAATCTTGTTTAACTGATGTGGAAATCAAATCACAAAACTGCTAAGCAACCTTGAAGAAGTTGTGCAACGTATTGCTGGTACAGGAGCAGACCATATAAGCCACCTGAGTCCTGAACTCTGCTCATCAGCATGTGTTGCCTTTCATTTGCAACAAGTCATTTTTATTGAAAATACATTGGCAGTTGCTAGCTGGCTGTGGGTTTCTTGCCAGCAGTACCTGCAGAGAGGCTTGTGGCACTCTGGTGTCGCAAAAAAGCTGCAGTTTCCCATCTTTCTGTGCCTCAAACAGCCACAGGAGCATTGTGCTGTGAGTCTGGACTAGACCTACTTTGTGACGAAGTACATAAAGGTCTCAATGGGATGGAGACAAATATATCTCAACCCGCACCATTTTTCCCCATGAAACAATCCAGTCCACCGAGATTCACATCCTTCTTTGAGGGCCTGGGCAGTTACTGTTGCCAAACAATTGCTGGCTCTGAATTGTTCATCTCAAGAAAGGTGTTTGCCTCCTAGGATTTCTCAGCGGGTGGAGGCCAGCCGGGCACAGCTTCAGGCCATCGGTGAGAGAGTCACACTCGCCCAAGCGAAGATTGAGAAGATAAAGGGCAGCAAGAAGGCTATTAAGGTAGTGATTTCAGTGAAGGCTGCATGGCCTTCTTTCTTCCTTCCACTTTCTCTCTTCATTCCTGATGTAAGCTCTGGAGAAGAACAGGTGCTCAGCTGCCACAGCAGCTGCCCCCTCACCTCCTTATGCCTTGCTGCTGAGCAGGGTTGTGATGAGAATCCCATTCCTGACTTGGCCAGCCGATGATTTTTAGACCCATGAGCCACATAGCTCCAGGCTTTATGGAGTCTTTATAGGTTTCTGTCCCAGCTTACCAAGAAAAGCAAAAGGCATGTGCTGAGCTAAGCCTGCTGATTCCATGGCTGTCCTTTCCCACTGGCAGCACAGATTGGGTGCTTGCTTCACTCCGTGTGTTTCTGTATTGTAGGATAGCCTAGCTGTTGGGATGTTTCAGTCCCTCCTTCTTTCTCCACAGGTGTTTTCCAGTGCCAAGTACCCAGCCCCTGAACGGCTGCAGGAGTACAGTTCCATTTTTGCTGGTGCAGAAGACCCAGCTAAACAGAAATGTCCAAGGCATAAGATTCAGAGCAAACACCGAATGCTGGATGAGAAAGCTCTGCAGGTAAGGAGGAGGAGAATAGACCTTGGGATGAACAAGCGGAGGAAAACTGAGGGGCTGTCAGTCTTTTTGATGAAGCAGACCAAGGTATTAGAATTTAGGCTAGGAGCAGAACATATTTTCAGCTTGGCCTATCAGTGGGCCTGTGTGAGGTCAGGCTGAGAAGCTTGTGGAGATGCCAATTTGAGAGGGCCATATCGGTACAAGACCTTGTCTGGGTGGCTGAGTGCTCTGTGTGGCTGCGAGCTGCCAGCTCTGGAGCAGTTCCATTTCCTGAAATGCTGCTGTTTCCTGCAGCAGTGTTGGCGGGTGCTGCTGCCCAGGCTTAAGGCTTTGGTTGTGCATAGCAGTGCAGCTGGATTCAGGGTTGTAATTGCTTGGAAAATAGTTTCTGAAGGCTCTGATACAAGTGATGGTGAGAGAGGAAAGGTAAAAAGGCTTCTGAGTGTCAGGAGAAAAAGGATTCATTCATTAGAGCATTTTTCCACCCCAAGAGATCGTTGCACTTGGGTATTGTCTGTCTCTGGTTCCCAGCTAAGTTTTGTGTGTTGGAGGTGGAAGATCATTTTGCTTCTTCACATCTTTAGTGTGTGCTTTGCTTCTCCTTTGCCTTGTGTTCATCTACTGTAGATTTCAAGCCCTTCAGAGTGACTGACTTTCTCAATACAGCTGGGGCTTCCAGGTGTGCCCATAGCACAAATGTCTGCAGCCAGTGGTGTTGAAGGAGGTCCTGAAGTACTGAGTTTCCTTTTAGTCTGTGGATTGAGTGGCAGAGAGAGGTTTCTTAGGGAGGCCTGAGAAGTGATGGTTTTGGCAGGAAATGCTACCAAAGGATTCTTCAATGATTTGGGTCGATATCCCCAGGTTGAAAGGAGAGGAAGAAGAGGTGCTGTGCTTAAGGTTTGGGGGCTGCTGTGTATGTGCTGTGTCAGGAGTAGCAAATGTGCTGTTCCTGACAAGTTAAGGATCAGCTTGACAACTTCCCTGCTTTCCACCCCTAAAGAGACTTCCTTCCTCATCATTGTGTGACTTGGCGCAAAAATAAAGCCTTTACTGAATAATTTATCATGCTAAACTTTCCTGAGTGTTAATGGAGTTGAGACCTCACATCGTGAGGTAGTTATGAATATTTCAGCCAGGCCAAGGAAGCAAGGTTGCTGGCCGAATGGACAGCTGGCAAACTTGAGCAAGGTTCCTGCTTCCCTTGAGTCCTGGCAGTAGCACAGGGCAGAGCCATGTGGGACCTGCTGCTGGCCAGTGGGAAGGCCAGCTAGTGGTGCTGGCTGGCTGGTCATCCCATCCCGTCAGAGCGTCATGGGGAGCAGAGGTGGGTGGTGAGTGGACAGGGAGATGTGCTCCCACTCTGAAGAGCTGGTGCCAGTGTACAGCCCCTTGCACAGGGATGGGATTAAGAAGATCATCAGCTGAGAAAAAGCAGCATCCAGTAAAGAGAAAATGGTGTGCCTGTTCAACTAACTTGCTGGCTCCAGTAGGCTCTGCATGCCTTTCCCCACAGCCATCTGCCTGTGATGCCACCTCTTCCCAGTCCCACATGGTCTCTGCACCATTGCCAAATTCTGCCCTTTGTGTCTAAGGCTGCCATCACCACAGGAACTTTATTTCAGGCCCCAGGGAATGTTCGTATTTGTTGCTCCCCCCTGTGACCCGTCTTTTGATCCTCCTTTGGGGCTGTTGATCTTTCTCTGGCTTTGCTGACCCTGCCTTATGCAGCAGTCTTGTCATTCTTGCCAAGCTCATGCACATGAGCTCCTGCCAGTCTTCTGTGGTGCAGGGGACACTGCTGTGCTGGCATGTGGCTGTCAGCTGGTGAGCAATGGAGGGCCCTGTACCAGGAGCAGCTGGTGCTGCCGAGCTCTGACCACATTCCAGGGGGACAGGCCCTTCTCAGCCGTAGCTGAGCACAGAGCCTGACATGCCTTGCAGTAATGAAATGTGACAGGGAGAAGTCTAATGTTTGCATTTACACCTTCCTCAATTATTCAGGGCTTTCAGCAGAGGCTCGCTGCCTGTTTTCACTTCTAATGAGGGCCTCTTTGCTGGGAGCAGTCGCAGTGGCCTTTGCTAACTCCACTCACACACGTGCACACACTCCACCAGGAAAGCAAACTCTGCTCGTGTCAGTTTGAGGATAAGTGGTGGGAGCCTGTGCTCAGTGTTTAGGGTTTGTGCTCTGGGGGGAAAGCAGCTGAGTTGGAAATGTATGTGGTTCTACAGTTTATTTAAAAGTGCTTCCCCTGCTGGGAATTTCTCCTTTCCCCCTCCACCCCAAGCAAGTGAAAACTTTGCTGTTGAGAGGACACTGTTTAGGTCAGTAATGTAAGCACTGATGGGTTAGAGTGCCAGAAACACAGTCCTTGTGGCAGGGCTGCAAAGCCACTTGCTTTGCACATTGAAGTGGTAGCAGCCAGGCAGGACTCAGCATTGAGCTGGCTGCAGCCTTGTGGGGCTTCTCAGGTGCTGGGCACTGCCTCCGTGGAGGGAGCTAAGTGTGGATGCTGCAAGTGTCCCTCGGGAGATTGGAAAATGGGGGGGGAGACATAGTCTGCTTGGGCTTGGGAAGAGGTCCAAGCAAAAGTTACAAGTCACTGCTGGATTAACCTTGCTAGGCTTCAAAAATGGCAGTAACTTGGCATGTCCTTATGAATTCTGCTTCCTTCAGAGCCCACCATGGGCACAGGGAAGCGAAACCAGGTTTTTGTCACTTGCTCATCTTCAAGTGCTTTTCCAGTTAGCCTCAGCTGGTATGAGGGAGTGGGATTTCTGGTGTGTCATGCCACTTAAGCACCAGGGTGATTTTGTATATTTTTAGCTGCAGGTTCTTAGGAAGAAAAGTGCCTGAAAATGCAGTGTCCTTAGATGTATGATCCTGCCAGGTGCCAAACCCGAGGCTGGTGTGGGTTTGAGCATTCGAGCACCTCCCCACCCCATGGCTTCACTATGTCAAGGCTGCTGAACTTTGGCTTGAGACTTTAATGCTCCTATAGGACAAGTAATTTTTAAATGGCATGTTAACTGGCGGAATTCACAGTTGCAGGATGTTATTGACAGTATGCTGCTCTAAATTTCCAAATAGATCTAGGTGCTTGAATAAGACTAGCACTTTGATAGCATTTAAATTAAAAGGATTATGTTGAGCCTCATGTTTCAGAGTAACACTCATGCTTAGTGCTTTTATAACTGCCTTAGATGAGGCTTATAAGTAAATGTAGGTAGTGGTTGGTTTCTTACAACGCCCGTAAAGTGCTGCACAGTCTTCCAGTGCTAACCGAAATCTACAAAGAGAGAATTAAAAATGTATATATATGACTCGAGGGCTGTGTGTGTCTAAACAGTTCTGACAAAAAAGTCAGTTCTCCCTCATGCTTAAAAAATTAAACATTGAGAAATGAATATTAATGATCAAAAGAACTTTTATTTTTGAGTTTCTGCTTCTACAGTCTCCAAATAACAATTTATATATTTTTGCCCCCTTGCTCCTGTAAAAAAAATACGGGGTGTTCATTTCAGTGTATTTTTCACAAATTGGAACATGAATCAAATCATAACCTCTCAGGTCTTTTAACATTTTATAGACTCAGAGCATCATACTAACTCAGTGTACTAACTGAGCTGTGACTAAGTAATTTCCTAGGATTTCTGGCTAGCAAATTTGAGACTGAAATTTAAATCATCAAGAACTTCTTGTGTTGCTTAAAACTGAACCAATGGTGGTCTCCATTTTCCCCATACAAGTACAAGGAGGGAAGAAGGACTCAGAGAATGGATAGTGCAGGGATGCTGGACATAGTGAGGCAGTAGGAAGCTGTGATCAGTATTTGAAGTGGTCATCTTCTGGTAACAGAAGGAAACCACAAGTGTGATCAGTAATTCAACCTGACAAACTGCTCTGGTTTCTCCTGCTATGATCACTTCCTGCCTTATAGCTGCCAGGCTGCTGCTTGTCCTGATTTGTGAAGAAAGAAGTTGTGAAGGGATTGAGGAGAGGTGTGCAGAGGGGTCTGGGGAGGAGGTTGGTCCATCCCAAACTCCCTCTGAGTTCAGGAGCTGATGCCTTTCCTCCCTCTAGAGCAAGGAGTGCTGTGGGCACTGAACTTCGTCCCCCAGAGCATGTGGCAATGGGCACTGTCATGCTAGCTGAAACACCGGCCTGGTGTGGGATGGCAATTCCTGTGCTCTATAAAGTCAAGCAGTTCTAATGTAAGAAGTCCTTTTCTAAAGGGAACTCTATATATTATGCATGAAGTTCTAGAACCAAGAGAGAAGATATTTCAGTTCATTAGAGTTGAAAACTCCTGCAAATCCCTCAGGCTTTGCAAAACTATCTGGCACATGTTCCACCCTGCACACTCCCTTCTGCCTGATCTCTTGCCTAGTGCAGGCACTCTGTTTCCTCCTAACCTCTTTTTCCTTTGCCTCCCCTGCATACCCCACTGGTGGGATCACAGCTCTTAAAACATCAACAGAAGGCAGCAGAGGGGAGGACTTTGCCTGCATGAAAATGTGTAGTAGTTGGAGACACTGTAACAAATGCCTTGTAGACTGTGGTGCTTGATCCCTGCGTCTGACTACAGAGCCTGAGCAGTGCTTTTGGTGGATCTTTGCTATAGCAACATGTGTTCTATATGACCCATCCATGGCACCAAAAGCATATGCCATGAGACTGAACAGGATTTGCCCTGAGTGTGGGGTTGCAATGTTGTCTATGTGCTTCCTTGCCCAAAAGGAGGTAGAGAGGGAGCCGTATAGTTCCCAGACCATACAGTGCACTCAGCAGTGTGGTAGTTGTGGTGGCTGGGGAAAGCTGCCTCAGCAGCTGTTGTTGTAATGTCTTACCACCTGTTATCTGTCTTCTTGCAGGAAAAGCTCAAGTATTTCCCTGTGTGTGTGAGCACCAAAATTCACCAGGAGGATGATGCAGAAGAAGGCCTTGGCAGCCTTCCCAGGAACATCAGCTCCCTCAGCTCCTTGCTGCTCTTCAATACCACTGAGAACCTGTGAGAGCTGGAGCAGTGCTGTGCTGCTCATCTGCCCTGCTTATCCTCAGAGGAGCTTTCCCTTCACCAGGGGTAGCAGTAAACGCTTGCTTTCCTGGGGGCATTACATATCAGGCTCCTGATAGGACAGTGTTTGGTACCTCTGCACTGGCTTCCAGCCAGGAACCCTTTCTTTCCCACTCTTCCCCTTGGGTGGAAGCAGTTGTTTTGTCTGTACCTGCTTTCAACCCAGTTTTGCACTTCCTTCCCCTTAGTTTTTTATATTGTACTCCTGTAATTTCTCTCCAGCCTTGAGATGTACTGTCACTCTTGCCCTTCTCTGCCCCATGTGCCAGCCTAGGTAATGCTTCTTCTGCTGATGATTCCTCACAGCATCACTTTACTGCTTTTGCTGCTTTAATGTCTCCACCACCTCCCTCACTGCAGTTCCCTTTTCCATTGGACTTTGTCTCATGGTTCCTTGTTCTGCTCATATTGAAGAGCTTCTTTAAGCCCTGTTGAGCTTTCAGCTCATGGACCTCTTTCTTCTCCTGAGCCACAGATCATTTCCCCTTTTTGTCTTTCCTCCTGGACCTTAAGTGACAAGTTGCTGGTGCCCTACTGCAGGCTGTAGGACAGTTTCAGGCCAGGTGGTGGAAAGGTGAGAGCTTGGTAATGATGCACTGTAGTGGGGATTTCCTTTAGGATGAATGTGGAGGCTGCACTGGCAGGGTGGGGAACTGATGGCCTCCTGGCTGTGGAGAGGAAGGGCAGGAAAATGGGGCTAAAAAAAGGAAACTGCAAAGCCCAATGTGTTCCACTTTAGCAAGTGAAGTCAAGAGGTCTCCGCCTCTAAGGCCTTCTTAGGGACACTGTTTCTTCTGGCCTTGGCTCTCAAGGCAGCATCACTAAAATACTTGTCCTCTACCCTTAGGTACAAGAAGTATGTTTTTCTGGATCCTCTGGCTGGAGCAGTGACCAAGACCCATGTGGCTCTGGAAACAGAGACAGAAGAGAAGCTGTTTGATGCTCCTCTCTCCATCACCAAAAGGGGACAGCTGGACCGACAGGTGAGATGCAGCTGCTTCCACATCAGAGGGTTGTGCTCTGCTCTCTGAGTAGACAGAGCTTCTCTAGGGTGGGGAGCAGGTAGGAGAGACCCTGATGGGGCTCTAGGGTGCCTCACTTACTAGAAGGACCTTGCCTGGTTTTGTGCTTGAAATCCTAGTGTAAGCTTGATGGGTGAGACAAAACCCTCAAACTTTGCAGGCATTTCTCTCTGCTCAAGCTTTTTCTGAGTGGTGTGAGAAGAGTAATATGATACCAATTCACAATGCTGCTGGCCCTCAGGGCTGTAGGGGAGTTTGGAGGATCCATCACTTGATCAGCCCCCTTGTGCTAACTGCTGAGCCTCATGAGGAGCCTGAGGGTGAGGTGCCAGGGCTAGAAAGTGCCTGCGAAGAGGTCTGATCCCCAGCATTCCTACTGCTGCTAATAGAAGGGCCAGCCAGACTGAGCAAAGGGCTTATGCTGGGTGCAGATATGGGGCAGGCAGTGCATTAACCCAGTTGCCCCCACATGTGACTGATCTTGTACCTAACACATTGAGGCTACACCTGGGATGTACCAGCTCTGCTGCTGTGTGGCTGAATGTGTGGCTTGGGACTGAGCCTGGGAACCATTTGCTCATCATGTTGGACTGGAAGAGATAGTCTATATAGTGAACAAACGCCATTATTCACAGTGCACCTTTGGTACTGTTTTGCCTGTGTTAAACACAAAACCAAACCTCTGTAACCACTTGGCTGTGTTTCTCCTCCATTTTAATCTTGGAAATGGTTCAGGCACCATCATTTTCTGGAGGAGAAGGGACTAGCTTGTGTAGGCTGCAAAAATTGGTGCATGAAACCTTCAGAGAAGAGAGTCCACTTTGCAAGAAACTAGGAAGAGTACTGCACTTCCTTCTCCTGCAGCCTGCCTTTTCCAAGCCTGGTCTGCAGGAGGTGACTTTTGAGCATGGAAGTGTAGGGGTAGCTGATGAGTAGGCTCTGTACCAAGAGTGCTGCCTGCAGTGCCCCTGGTTGCTTCAAGTGCATAGCGACTGCCTTATCTTCTTTTGGGTTTCTTTTAGGTAGCTGAAAATTACTTCTACGTGCCAGATCTGGGCCAGGTCCCTGAGATTGATGTGCCATCCTACCTGCCAGACCTGCCTGGCATCGCTGCAGATCTCATGTACAGTGCTGATCTGGGCCCTGGCATCGCACCCTCTGCCCCTAGCAGTGCTATTCCAGAGTTGCCCACTTTCAACACTGAGTCCGTGGAGCCTTTGCAACCAGGTATATCCCATCCCTGATCCCAGGACCCTGAGAAGTGGGAAGGCAGGGATTTCTACAAAATGGAGATAAGGCAGAAAGTCTCTTGGTGGAGATTTTCAGATAGATGTCAGAGATACCTCTGGCTTGTGCTTAGGCCTGAGTGAAAGCCGTAACCTGCTCAAGTGCTGGCCTGACTCCAGGCCCCTTTTCTCTCTCACTCTCTGCATGGCTGAGGAGGAGGGAGCATAGTGTGCAAGGACTAGAGTCAGCCTCGTGGCATGCCCTTGTGCGAATGGAATGCAGCTGGGGAGGTCAGAGCAGGGGAATCTCAGACTGCCTTGGCCTTGCCTGCTGTTACAGATGGTGCAGAGGGTGGGAGTGCTCTGCTGCAGTGTGTGCTGAGGACTCTGATCTGTTGCTGCTGAGTCATGTGATGCTGAGCTGGAGTTCTTGGTGTGCCATTCCCTGGGACTCTTCAGACGCAACTTCTTTGATCTTTCAGATCTTCACGATGCTGAACTATTGCCACCTCCTCCTCCTCCTCCCCCACCGCCTCCCCCACCGCCTCCTGTTCTGACAGCTGTGCCTCCTCCACCGTCCCTGCCCCAGCCCACAGCCCCCGCGGAGCCACCGCGGCCAGTGAGTGAGGAGAGCAGCCACAGGCCGCCTGCAGGTAAGGGCTGGGTGTCTCCACAGCGTCATCAGCAGAATTTGACTCCTTGGCTTCAGCCTGTGTCCTTGGGTGGTTGGTTCTCTGTGCCTTTCCAGCCTTCCAACAGAGTAGGCAAGCTGTGTTGGGAGGGGAAGCTGTTGGGTCACTGGAGTAGCCTTTTCCATGGGAATTTAGCTGGGCCTGTAGCTGATGCACTGACTCTCATGCCTGCTGCCTGTCCTTCCTGTCTCTGCAGCTTCTGTCCAGGGAGCCCCAAAGGAGGTGGTGAACCCCTCTACTGGGCGTGCCAGTCTCCTGGAGTCCATCCGCCAGGCTGGTGGCATTGGGAAGGCCAACCTCCGCAGTGTCAAGGAGAGGAAGCTGGAGAAGAAGAAGCAGAAGGAACAAGAACAAGGTGCTGAGGCTCTGGCAGAACTGCTTGTTCTTGCTGTCTGCCTTGGGCTAGGGAGGTGTGGATCTAGGGGCAGATGGGCAAATTAGGAACACAGTGAACTTACAGAGCAGAAAGGAATTGTCTCTCCTCACAGGTTGGTGTAGGTCTCAGGTGTTTTCATTTTAGCCAAATGGGAGCTTGCTGTAAACTTGCTAAACCCATCTGCCACAAGGGCATCTGTTGCAGGGCATATGTAGAAGTTTCACATGTGCTGCGTGGGGGGCAGGCACACAAATGAAACTCCAGGGCCAAGAGGGGCAGGGCTAAGGCAGTTTGAGCACCATGGTTGAGGTAGCTGGGGAGGGAGTGATGTGGGGCTGGTTTGGTAGAATGAGACTGCAAATGCACACCCCCTCAAGGAATTCCATTCTTGGATTTCCCCAGAGATGCTGCTAGCCCGTGGTGCCTAGTGTTTTCCTGCTGCAATTGTTTTTTTTATTATTTAGTCTGAAGGCAGTATTGCAGGGAAACACTTTTGCCATAGTACTTGGTTTAGACTGTTTCTTGACTGACTTGTTTTGCTCTTTCAGTGAGAGCTACAGGACAAGGTGGAGATTTGATGTCAGACCTCTTCAACAAGCTGGTGCTGAGGCGCAAAGGTACTGTCCTGCAGAGTGGGCTGTTCCTTACCCCAGGAAAGAGGGAGAGCACTTCCAGGCACCTCAGGTGTGTCAGCCACAGCCCTAGAAACAGGAACAGAGAGACTTTGCCCAGTGAGTGTACCATAGTGTGTCTGGGAGTGTCTTTACAGAGGGTGAGCAGAGGAATCCCCACCTCAAGTCCAGCTGGATGCACTGGAGGATGTTGTGTCTGAGTCATAGCATGGACTCTAAAAACTACCTGTGATGATGGGACAGAATTGTCTTTTTTAATTCAGTGCTGGGGCAACTGGGCATGAGGCATCCAAGTTGCCCCAAGGCCTTGGCAGGTACCTGGGGTATTTAGGGCCAGTCATGATGCCTTGACACTTGGGCAGAGCTGTAGTTAAACAAGCCCTTGGCACAGGACTGTGGCATTGTTAAACTTGTGTGCCATTCTACTTACCTGGGTCCTGGGAGCATGGTTTTCCCCTTTCCCTTTGCTGAGCCTCTGTGTTCTCTAGTCCCCAGCTGTGACTCACTGGTCATTTTCCTTCCCTCACAGGTATTTCGGGGAAAGGGCCAGGAGCCTCTGGGAATGCTGATACTCCTGGAAGACCTGCTGGTGCCTTTGCTCGTATGTCAGACTCGATACCACCTCTCCCACCCCCACAGCAGCCCATCGGTGAGGAGGATGAGGATGACTGGGAGTCATAAGTGGGGGTCAGTTGAGAATTAGTGTGAATCTGCTCCTGTCTGAGAATTTTCAATAAAGGTGCAGGAAGCAGGTCCTTGCTGTTTTCACTTTGGTACCAGTGGGAAGTGTGATCAATTAAGAGTGTGTAAAGGGAAAGCCCACTCCTGGGGCACTGGGGTGAAGTAGAGCTTGTGCAGACTGTGGAATTTACACCCACTGAAGGGACAGGAGACCCACAATGGAAGTTTCTCAGAGGCAGCTGTTTCTTTCCCTGTGGGGCTAATTAACATATAGGGAGTTGGTAACAGATGTATGTCATAAGAACTTTCTTCATTGTGAAGAATCTTGAGAGGCAGCATCCAGCTGTGTACAGCTGGATGTGAAACTGGCAAAGAGGCAGAAGAAGCTCCTGGGAAGAGACTTGCTCAGGAACAAGCTGGGGATGGCTGTGGGATTACGTAGCTGTGCCTGTTACTGCTGCCCTCGAGCACTGACCCATAACCTTGGAAAAAACCCCAGGAAGGTTACACTAAAAAAGTTACTTTGAATTCCAAAACTTAGGCAGTAGAAAGAACAGAGCAACCCTGTGCTTAAGCATGATCAAAGGAGAAGTGCTCTATTATGGCCATATCCTTGAAAGAATGAACTGCCCACTTAATCTATTGCCCACTTAAAGCAAGGTAGAATGAAAGGGCTAAGAAATGTTACCCACAGCTGCCCAGTGTCTTACCGCTCTGTGTTTATCCCCACATGATGTAAACTACTGGCCCACTAGTTTACAGTTTCTGTGAAAAGCTCTATGTTGTCAATGGTCATGAGGCCTCCTACACTTGGTGGTTGATGGAAAAACCAGATGTGTTCAGTTAAAACAATCATACTCCCCACACTTCAGTGTTTGGTTGAAAGTATTTAATCAAATTACATAAAACCTAAAGAACTGTAAACAAATAGGAGTCTGCTGCTCCTACCTTCACCTGCCTCACACCTGCAACCAGTTTCCTGCCTGCTTAGGGTGTACTGAAGGCTGTCTCAGCATCACAGCAATCAGATACTTAACAGCAACAATCCACAAAAAGGAGACAGAAGGCAGAGATTTACAAACTCCTTGGTACAGAAAAGCAGCAACTTTTGTTGCTTCACCCATTCTTCAGAGGTGTAGCTCACAGACCTGAACACAGTCTGTTCTCTGGTCCTCTAGTCCACATCACAAGGCATCCAACTTCCCTCGATGGAACTAGGAACACACAAAACCAGACCGTTTGTCCCTGGCCTTACTCTAAAGGACAGGCTTGAGAAAAGTCCAGATGAGCACAGTGGGAAACAGTTTTGGTAGCAGTACATAAGATACATGTTCTGACCTTTCTTAACTCTGCAAACGCTGCTCCAAAGGCAGGTTTCACCTGGGTCCTCTCCCTGATCCACTGTGGCAGTTTGTTAAAGATGACAGGTCGTGCGTACCTGTGGTCCAGGAGCAGGATGCTTGCAAAGTCCTTCTGATGGCGAATGGCTCTGCCTGTACACAGTGTACAACCTTAGTAAAACAGCCCAGTCTAGGGTTTGTTCTCAGACAAGAAAGCTCAGGTTCCTGTCATCCATACTTAGACCGATGGGTAATGTGTCCTTTTTTCCACCCTCCTCCAGCACAGTCACATTTTGTATCCCCCAGCCTGTCCAAGAAAGGATGAATTACCTATCGACTGGTTTACTGCCTTCATGCATAGGTTTTCAATCAGCACTCTGCTTGGTGCCTGGCCAGCAGCTCTGGGCTAGAAAGGAGAAATAGGCAAATTGGAACACGAGGCAGATGTAAATCAACCCGGGGAATATTTAATGACAAAGTGAGACAAATGCTTGTACTTCTGCAGAGTACAAGCAGCCCCCAAGCTGAGAGTAAGGAGGGACAGAAGAAAGGCTGCAGTTAGAAAACTATGTTGATCAGTCATAAAGACCCAGCCCCCAGGTCCCCTTGAAGGCAGAAATTTTGTCCCCAGCTGCCCAGGAACAGCACCAGTGAGCAGTCAGAAAGGACAAATGATCCAAGAGAAGTGATCTTGGCAAGCAGCTTCTACCACCCTGCTACATCCTCTGGGGTGAAAGGGTCCTTTGCTCCACTTGGAACTCAGAGTTCCCAGCAAGCCCTGGTGGTGTTTCCCTCCCACTGAGCTTCTTCCCTGTACACAAACAGTCTGGAGAAGGCTGTGCTCTTGGTACCACACAGTCTGGGAAATGAGGGCAAGCTCAAAGAAAACAAAATCTTCAAAGGCAGCTCTGGGACTCGTGTGTGTGTGGATTAATACTGTAAAGCAGAAGTTAAACAGGCAGAGATGTGTCTCTTACCATTGTTTTGTCGAGCCAAGTCATTTTTTCCTGGAGCTCTGGAGATTTAATGTTGGGATAAGGCATTCCCACCATAATCACACACCTGCAAGGGAGGATTGCATTATTCTTAATGTCTCATCCTAGAGCACTTTGCCAATAGACTGATAAACTAGAGGTCACTGCACCCCTGAAAGACAGCCAGCCCTGAAATCCAAAGGTGGCAAGAAAGCACATCAGCCTGACAAGCACGTTCTGAACAGAGAGCTGCAGAGGGATTCAGCATGCCAGAACAAGGGATTATCTAGCACAGCAAGCCTGACTGCATTATTCACGGGAAAAGGAGCCTGGACAAGTAAGTTTTACACCACCCAGCAGACCCTCCTGTTGCTTTAAATATCAGCTGAAGTCATGTGCTCCCTGGGATTTTCCACCTATAAAAGTACTGACATGTGCACCCTGCTTGGAGTGGCCACATACAAGCCCAGAGCTCACCTTTCAAGCAACAGTCACCTTACCTTCCCAGGTCATCAGAGAAGTTGATCCCTTCACTCATTTTGCCTCCAACTACGGAAAGCAGCAGGCCCCCTGTTATCTGTCCTCCTGCCTGGCTGCAGCACTGAAGGAGAGGGACCAGCAGCTTTAACCAGAGTAGGAAACATTTCTGTGCTTCAGAAATACTCCCACACCTGGGCTAGAGCCTTCTTTCCTTGTTAAAAGCTGCAGTGCCCCCTTTAGCAGCACTCCCATACCAGCTGCGATGCCACACGCCCACCAGCCTGCCAGCTCAGCTTACCTTTATGCACTTGGCATATTCCACCAGCACCTGCTCCACCTGGTTGGCTTTCTTAGGCTCCTGAAAGATCTATCACAGGCACGGTGCGTCAGGTGCAGCAATAGGAAGCAAACAGTTTAAAGAAAGCAAATCACTTTACTCCCATGCCATTAAACAGCATATGGAACTAAGATCAGGGAAGGGCAAAGTGCCTGAAAAACCAATTTAATCAGCACCTTTACCCTGGAAACACACTGTGTGCTCACTACAGTACTTTTCAGCTGGGCTCTGCAGGAAGCAGCAGCTGCTCCTGCCTCTCCAACTCCCCCATTCAGATCTGGCAGTCTTGTTTAATTCTGCAAGAGGTTACAAGTCATCTGAGAGATGAGACAGGAACGCAGTGTGCACCTCTTGCACCTATGAATCAAGAGCCTCTGGGGTGAGAAGACTCTCCAGCTGCAAGATCTTGGAGGACAGTAACAGGGCCAATCAATTCGAATCACCAATTAATTCCAAGTAATAGCTCCCCTTGCCCAGTGAAAAAATCAGCTTTTTATGCAAAGCATATATAAAGCAGTATTTCTTTATGATATTCTAGCATGCCCAATTAGTTACAGAAAGCTCCTGCAGTTAAGCTGCATTTTGATAGATGCTGCGCCTTGGCCTAAATCACAAGTTGTCTTCCCAGTAAACGAGGTGCAACATCTGTCTTCTCTGTGACAGTAAAGAACCTAAAGGATGTGTTTGCTCTTGGTTAGCAAGTAGTGCTATCAAATTTTACCAGCCAAAATCAGTTTTCCAGTATAAAAATAACTGCAAAAAGTTAGAAAAAGAATTCCAAATATAAGCCAAAACTAACTTACTGAAGAGTAGCTATTTAATCATCTGATTTAAATTAACTTCCCCTGTGTAATGTATATATAAATCTCAGTGGTGATCTCACTACAGCTACCTCAGGAACCTTCCCCTGCTACGATCTGATCTTTTGTGTGGGTAGGTGAAAGTCACACTTGCTGCACTTCTCCCAGATTGCCCTGCTAAGACATATCCAATTTGCTGGAGACTGCAGAGGTCAAACAAGAATAAACCAGACCTGAAAGGCAGAACAAACTGTGATTGTGGCATAAAGTCTTGGAGGCACCAGGCAGGCCACTGGGACACTCACTGATAGTACACACCTGAAAGGTACTAGGACTGGCAGCTGTACAAACACATAGAAGAAGCTGAAGCAGAATGCTTCCACCACAAAAACCTGCAGGCAGATTCACATGCCAGGGTATATGTAATTCCTATTTTTTTTCTCAGCATATGATCCAAGATCCTTGACCCACACCAGGACACTCAGACTGCCTGGCCTTCAAGTACTTGTGAGAGTCCTTCCAAAGATTTTATATTTGCAGTGATCTC